TGTTCTCTCCAGCTCTTTCAGCGTCATGATAAGGACGAGAGAATAAAGATGCATGCGAGAAAATATGACGAGTAATCAGCAATGCATGAATTTAAATCTATGCAAAAATGCACACCGCAGCAAATAAACTGAGATGTCAAGGCCCAAGAGGCAGCTCAGAAAGTGAGGCTGATTTATCAGAGTGCATGAATCTCATCTCATGAAAGTGTTTCAAATGCAGAGGGCCTTAGTGTCTGCTTTACTAAGAAAAAATAATGAAAGATCATGTTTGAGATGATGGTCACAATATTGTGATGAGATTTCATGATCTCAGGAGCATAAAATGGACCATCTTAAATGTGACATTAGTGACAATGAGTATGTTGTATTCAGCGACTGGCTCCGACACATTCTCATTAACATTCAGCTTTTCCTGATTAGTGAGGGTACATTGTTTTAGACAGCGAGGAAAACAGGAAATGGCCTTGACTGTTTTATTTAGAGGGGAATGTTTAATTAAGATAGCATTTTTCATATAATGAGTACTGAAATAACACTCTTTTTGTATGGATTTATCAGGACTACACAAAAACACCAACTGGATGTGGTCTACCAAGATTATTCAAATGTGAGCCTTAGATACGGGGATATGGGGCGATGAGGTAGGTAACCTACCAGTGTGCTCCTCTGTATAAGCCAGTGAGTTTTATCATAGTAATGATGACACTGCAGCTGCTGAGTCCAATAGCATGATTTATTGCCCCCAGCAGCAGGGTCATTTAATTTCTATGTATAGTGGGATCATTTTGGTTGCATACTGCTCATTCTGTATCTGCAATGACTCCTGTGAGTCAGTGTAAATGTTCATTGCAGAGTACCACCAGATGTTTTCAACAGTAAATTATCTATGAGAGCCAACCTCTGTGGACAGTTAACTTGTACAGTGTGCTTATAGAAGGAATAATAAATGAGTGAGTAAAGATTACGTCACATATAAAAAGGTCTAAACCGTTTGACAAATTATTTCTTTCAAAGCACAATAAACTTTTTTTCTTGTGCAAAAAGCATGTAGAGATTTTGTTTAGTAGACAGTAGCTCTCTAATTGCACAGCACAGATGATTTATTTCTTACAGTATGTGGGACTAACTTTCAGACTGTGAGTCATTGCTGGGGTCACAGATCTAAAGCCATGCCAGGCTGCTTTCAGTTTGGATGTGATAAGATGGATCTTCACCTCTGCTCTCTGTTCACTCTCCTAATTTAATACCGCAGCACACTGGAAGCTCCCATTCTACAAAGGTCATGGAAAAAGCAGAAAGATCGAGGTTTTCAATCCTGCAAATATTTATATTCTGAGTGCAGTTTTAGGTCTGTCAATTGCACTGCGGCCTTGCAGGATGGTCTGTTCATTACAGTTCTTTGATTGAAAGACCATGGCTGGAGGAGACAGATGACCCTCTATGCTCTAGTCCTCACATTTTGACTGGGCTCAGGAAATTTTGGAATAATATTGGAACATTGGTTGAGGACAAAGGAATGCTTGAAATGAAAGAGCACCTACACAGAGGACAGTCTGTTCTTGCATGATTTAGTCATTTCTTTTTATAAGTGGGTTAAAAAAGACACTAAACAATCAAATGGGGGTTTTTTGGGGGGAGGGGGGTGTAACACTTTATAACACGATACACAAAGTGATTAATTCTTAAAGAACAAGTGAAAAATGAATTAGAAATCCACTGATAATTAACAGATTGTTGATGTGTGATGTGTAATTCCTGGAAAAGGACTACATAAATCTGCAGGTAATGATTAGTTCAATATTATAAGTATCATATGTATTTGTGAAGTGAAGTAACAACCACTTTCTTAATCAGTATTTTCCAATTAACTCAGAGAGCAGTGATAAAGAGTCATTCATTACTTATTAATTATTAGCTAATCAGTAAAGTAATATATCACACTGAATAAATAAATATTTAAATATTTTCCTCATTACTGCATGGTTTCAGTAGCTAGTCAGTTTTAATGGAGAATTTACAATTGGCTAAAAAAATAAACAAACAAAACTGAAACACTGTATATATGGCATCCTCTAGTACTGTTGTGGTTGGTGCATAGGTGCGCATGGTCAGCCACGTCCCTGGTCCCACAAATGTGTCTGCTGAGGCATAGAATCTGTTGTCCCCTGACACGGCCAATGATTCATAATTAAGGCAGGACAGCTGTTGCTGGCTGTGCTGACAGGTCCCAGGGTGCATGACAGATGATAGGGCCCTTTGGGGCCAAACTATCAGTCCAAATGTCCACTGTCCACTCTCCGCTCTGTCCTTCACAAGCCTCGCTGATATATGTAAACCAAAGCCAGAGTTGACCTCACTGAATATGATTATAAGTTGTTGCAGTGTCACGGACAGCGTACCATATGGAGATGGGCACAATATCCTAAACACCTGGATGATCAGGTGTTTACTAAATAAAGACAGTACTGCTCTTTTTAAACATGTAGTTTGTAGTTAGCTGGTGTATTTCATGGTGTGGTTGTGGTGCTTTTGTACATTAAAAAAAGACTGTGGTGTACTACAGTGGCTTTTCACCAGTTTCACAGTTTGAGCATGATGATTTGTAGCCTGATGTTTTCTGGAAAGATGACTGTAATGTCACTGGACAATAATTTGAAAGACAAAGAATTATACAAATTATAAACTCTGGTCTGTTTTTTTTACTTTTTGAAATTCTGTTTTGCTTGTTTGTTTGAACATGTTTCAAGTTTAAGTTACATTTTACAGTCAATCACTATACAGTGAACATAATTTAGAGGTGAGTCTTCACAGTCTAAATTTGCCAGACAGGTTATCATGGTTAGAGAAATTGCAATTCCTTATTCTTTGAATAGATGGGTATGAATATTAAATTGAAGGAGAATTACTTTGCTGTGTTGTAGAGTGAATTATGACATTGTAAGATGAGCAAGTAGCCCAAGCAAAACATCCAAGCCCTCCTTATTAACTAAGAGACAAAAAGGCAGAAATGAAAAAAGAATAGTGTCTGAGCCTTTGTCATTGCTGTTGCCCTTGAGAAAAAAAAGAAACTGGAATTCTTGTGACACTCCTTTATTACTTACTGTGATAAAAGATTTTTGCGTCTCCTACAACACAACAATACAGCATGTAAGCTACATAGTTTTTGTTTTAAAGATATAAAGAGATTACTTAGTCACACAAAAACGCACAAACCATAAACAACACTTGAGTCTGCGAGCTGCTGTTTGACTGCAATGTTTTCTTGGTTTGTTTGAAAACCTTCAGAGTGATGTTGTGTTTAATTCTTGTCATGATAAAAATCAAATCAATCAAAGTGGCTGACCTTACGGATAATTCCGCAAAAAGTCACCTCTAAGCTCCGTCTCAGAATGTCCATTAGCTTCTCTTATTGTCGCCTCTCCTTTGACTGAGTGACAGTTAGTCAACGTGACTAAATTCATTTCGCTGCCACTTTTGTGCAGTGTGCTCATCCTGCCCACTGCCTCAGCTTTTCCAGGCTGATGCACTAACACTCTTGCACACACATTACCTCAGGGACACCAGCGTATGGAGGACAGCCTTTTTTCTACCTCATGTCATATCTGAGGCCTGAGCCTGCTCCCTATGACAGCATTAGCTTTCAGATCATGACATGAATTATACCGCTAGCTTAAACAGATGTGGTTGAATTAGCTGTGATGGTGCATTTGTCTTTCAAGACAGGAGCTGGATCCATTTTAGATCAAGTTGCAAGATTTATTAGGCATTGAGCAGTGGCACAGGTGTATAATGTATTGCTTTAATTCCTTTATTTGTATTAGAAAAGATCAATGAACAAAATTGTTAGCTTTTCATTAGCAAACGTAACCTGGATAATCTCGGTTTAGCTATTTGAATGTCTTTCTTTGAAATTTAATTCTAAAAGTTATCTTTCGGGTATTACTCTGATTTACTGAAAGCTTGTTTGTTGTCCCACCGAGTTCAATTACAATCAAACCAATTCAATAAATTGGACTTATTTGGACTACATAGGAAGATTCAGTCCTGGATTAAATTTAATAAAGTCCCTAACACTCTTCAATAGTGCCTTGTAAAAACAAGTGAAGGTGAAAGCTTTTTATTTTTATCATACAGAATAATAATGACTTGCTGTTGGATTAACACACTTCTTTTGTGGTTCTGTGGGGAATTAATCAGAGTTAGTTCCAAAATATGCCAGTATTCCATTCTCCAAGCAAACTACATGCAATCCTCCTGAGGTTTCTTCAACAGATTTAGCTGCAGATGCTGTTCAAACCTGTTGAAGACATAAAACACTTCTGTCAGAGAACCTTAAGGGCACAAGCAGAATACAAAAGCAGTATGAGTCAACAATGCAAGAAACAATGAATGACCAGACAGATTCTGCAGCTACCTATAAAGATGTCTACAGTTCAGGGGCGAATTAATCAAACACATTCTTGTTTGACTGTGTTGGTAGAAAATACTGGTGACCCATTTTTTCAGAACAACATTATTAGACTAAACCTGGCTTTAAATGGAAACACAACTGTGTCCAGTGCTGAGCTAAGATTCCATCTAGTGTGAACTGAGACATCACAGTCAACAGTTAGTGTTTGTGTGCAATGTGATTTGTTTTGGTATTTTTCTTTACAGCATGTATGTAAGTATGTTGGTATATTGTTTACTTGCCCCTTGCTGTTGCCTTGCATGGGGATATGTACATGCATATTGAGAGCTGCTGTACCAGAGTCAAATTCCTCGTGTCCAACACACCTGGCCAATAAAGCTGATTCTGATGTAATGCTGGGGGTCAATGATGCTGGTTTTATTCTTAAGAAAAATACCTGCGATAAATCTTTGTGCAGTGTATTACTCTACAAAGCCCCTTTGTAAAGATTAACTTAGTGAACCATTTGCTTGCATGGCATCATACAGCACAGAGGTGCAGCCATGAAAACCAGAGTGTAATTGTATATATTGGTCTCTTTTTATATCAGGTGCTAAATGTGAGTGTGCTGGAGGGAGAACAGGTGACAGTGGAGGATACAGGTGGCAGAGAACCCTTCATCCTTGCCAATGAGTCGGTCTTGATAAGGGGCCTCGTTCTACGCAGCTGGAGCAACCAGATCTCCCTCCGATTTCGTAGTGACCAACAACACAACTCTGGATTTCTCCTGCTGCATTACAAAGGTGAGCCAGTACCACACTGACAAAGAAAAACAAAATGCGGCTCAGGACAAATTTGTAAAAACTGTCAGCGAAAGCAATGAGTTAACTACACAAAGCTAGCAAAGACATGCTAACAGTCTACCGTATACACATTTTCTGTTAAATATACAAAATAATGTATTCACGTCACTGTCGGCCTGTGGCGATACACCCATAGTGATGAGCAAGAAGTGGCAGAGGCGATGTTTATTCACTTCCAGTGGGTCTTCACTACTACTGTAGAAAGATGTGTGATGGTGTTAGGGGCTTTGCTGGCAGGTTATTATTTTTTTCCCATGTTAACTGAATTGGGTGAGAGGACAGAGCCACATTGCTGACATTGCAGCTAATTCCAGTAAATGGCTGTGGGTTGGAGGAAATGTGAGGCAAACATACACCAGATAACTTAAAGTGTGAACTCAAGATGCTTTGAATTGAAGTATATGGTGTGTTGCTTGCTATGCTTGCTAAGAAGATGTAAAAGAAAAAGCTCAGCTGGTTTGCTACCAAGATGGATCAGTTTTGGGTTTTTTTTGGTTTTATGGTCAAGTCATTTTATTTTTCATAGCACATTTAAAAACAGCTGTCAAACAAAAACATTTGGAAGAAAAAACCTATGCATTGCTGCCAGGCAGATAGGTTTTGGGGGATAGTTCTACTAAAAACTAATTTTGATAATGATAATGTTGCTTACGTCAGCTTTAAACTGCATTTAATGAACAGTACATCTCGTACCTCTCTCCACATAACCTCCTAGACTACATAGCAAAGGCAACAGAGATGTTAAGGACCACTCCATAGTGCAACAATTGCCAGTAACAGTATGAGCAGTTTATCAAACAACAAACACAAACTTGCAGAAATGTGACGTCTTCTCTGCGTTGCCTGCAGCCCAGTCACTGAAGTCCTCATTTTACCCCTAAACCAATGAGTGAAGTCCTCCTTTTACCTTTAAACCAGTGAGTGTGTTTGCACACTGTCGTGATGGTTGGGCTCGTAACACTGTGTCGACATGCTTCGAACCACCTGCGACACTTCTTGTTTGAAGCACTGCTTTGGGCCATGTATCCAAGTGGCCAAGTCACGTGATTGTTTCACATTGGTTTCATATTTTGGCAGTTTGCCGCTAGGGGCTGATGGAACATACAACTGCTGATCTTGAGTTAGTTGATTCAGTTGACAGTTACACTACCTGAACACCCAAATAAGAAATTGGGCTGATCATCAGTTCGTGATTCCTCTTACTTGTAGATTGTTAATGCAATAACAATCAGTGAAAATGGTCAGATGTTGTGGGGTTTTGTGTAAGGAAGAGAGAAATGTATTTGATATTTGGAGATGCTGATTTGGATGATAGAGGGAGCAAGAAAAAGAACAAGGCCACTTGCGCAAGAGCATTTTGAGCCTTTACAGCCCAGTTTAGTCAAATGTAACATTTGTAACCAACATCTGGCATTTCTTAACAACACATCATCAGTGTTAAGACACCTCTGTTCTAAGCAGAAGATTTAAACGATGGGCCTACAGCAGGGCAAAGAAAGAAAACACTCCCTCATCTACAATATAGCCCCGATCACAAGCACTCCCCATCAAACAATGTAGGCCAGCTTTCTACAAACACAATTTTGTTGAAAATGTACACCCATTTTGAACGTATATAAAAAAATAACTCCCTTCTTATATATGATGCATATCTATAAAGAAGATAAAAAAATAGAACATAAATAATATATATACAAGTTTTATTCTTGTCACACAATTTATTTCCACACAATGATATTGTGAAAATGACTTGTTTCAGCCTTTACTAACACACCGTGCTTGTAATACTAATAGCTGAGGCGTGAAGACGCAGACGTTTAACCAATCACAAGTGACTGCTCTGTGCGTACGCACACCCTCACCCCTTGCAGTCATGGAGCTTGATTTTAGTACTACCTCCTGAGGGGTGCCAAAACTGAGCTCCCAGAATGCACCTCCAAAGCAGGCTGAGGGCAGTTTAAACAAACACAGAAACTGTGACAAGCGTTAGTCGGTGCAACACGTTTTGGTAGGTTCCTATAATGGAAAAACCCCTTTACTGTGAGCATGCAAACAATTTAATTTGACACCAAGTTGTGACATTGATACAGTAGGCAAAACTGGCATTTCATTCAGAGGGGTTGCTAAGCATTGAAATCAGTGATATTATACACTTGAGTGGGTCTGGCTGAAATTTCCTAAGAATCCACTTGGGCCAGCCACTGTAGCTTAACTTGAGCAAATCCAATACAGATATAAGGCCAGGTCATCCTGCCAAGTATCTGCTCTTTGCGTGGGTTTAAAGGTGAGCTGGGTCATAGAGTGGTAATTTTCTGAAATAACCGTTAACTACCACTAGGGCTGGCAAAGCTAGATAGTATAAGCAGAGATAAAGGCTGGATTTTTAAACACACTGTGGCACATACATTAGGTGAAACTGCCAGCCACAGGAGCCTATCCTAAACAGATGCAATATGAGGCTGGCTCAAGACTCAGTATTTACTCTATGCATGGGTGAGGGTAGAAATTAACAACAGATTTAAAGTGTATTATGTCAGTTTTAAGGTACTTTATAGGTTAGGTGTTAGAGACTGGTGCCTATTATGGAGCCAAGAAGATTCACAGTATAGCAGCATGGCCTGATAGCACCTAGTAATAGCTTATTTAACACCATTTATCACAAATACTGGGCTTTCATAGGAGTGCTCATCTTGTTTTTGGAATATTCAGCTGTGCACTCATAACTTTGTTGATGTTCTAAGAGGAGCCTAAATTGTCATGCACAGTGTGTAGCATCTATTTTGGTGTAATGAGTTATAATTGTATAGCAGCACACTATTTTGAATTTTATACATGGAAGCAAGTATTGCAATGAATTCCACTAACCTTTGCTTAGAATAAATGTATAAATTAATGAAAGACATCAAATAACAACTACAAGCAAGCAAGCTATCAGGAGAAATAGTTACTTTATGTTGTTGGTGAAAATGATGGACCATAAATTTCTCCCTCTCTGTCACTTGTTTTGTGTGTGACATTGATCTTTCATGTCCGCAACGTCTGTTTATCTTAGCAATCACATAAAGTGGCCACCAATTACATGCCCCATCGATTTGAGTTGACAGTGGAAGCTGGTGGACAAAACATTCATTCCACCACATTACTGCGGTACTTTCATCAGCTCTAAAATGAAAGCAACCATCAAAACCCTGCCACTGACATGAGATAAATGAGCCCGTCGCTGCTGGATGTGTGAATATTGCTGTGTGGTCGGGCTGAATAATGACAAAGAGGGGTCATTACAGATCATGCAGGGTGATGCATTGATGGGAATGGATGGCAACATATAGTTGACATACTATATTACACTGTCAGGTGTTCTTTTCTCCTTCAGCAAAATTTCTTGTGTGAAAAGATTTCACAGATTTATTGATGCATGTAGATGGACACTTGGTGCTATTTATCCATTCATCCATGGCAGATTCACTATTAACTAACTTAATAGTTGCACTGTGTAACTAACGCTGAGGGGAGTTTGCGAGCCAACTCAGCGGGAGTGCTTGAGTGATGTCCGCTGTCATCCTGTTGATTGATACTTATTGCTACTGCTTAGTTTGTGACCTGTATGACATTTGCTCACACTGCTTTATAAGGATCATGAATAATCAAGTGTTTTCTTAGTTTTCATGAAACTATTATATCCTGAATATGATGGAAACTGTGATAAACCCATAACCAGGACATTAGGCATATATGTGGAAAGGTGCACCAATCATACATAATCAGTTGAAGTCGATATGTACTGATACTATTGGTGAAAGCTGAACTACTAAATTTAGTTTAATCAAGTGACATATGATTAATGCAGCTGAAATATGGATATAAAGCCAGATGATGATTCTCCTGGAATGTTAGAAACCAGGACAATGATTGAATCATACAGAGATAATAATAACCATGTGTTTTATATTCTGTACTGTAATGTGATTACAATCAGGATGAGACTTATACCAGTGACAATAGTAGGTATTTAAATACACCCACTGACAAAGCAGAATATGTGTTGTTGACACCACAGGTCAAAAGTTAAAAAGTGAAATCAAACTACAATAATAACATTTTTTCAATAGCACTTCTCAAAGCAAAGCACAATGTGCTTTACACGGTTCAGAAAAGGAGTACATTAATTAAACAGAATTTAAAAAAGCAATAAAAGGAAAGAAGCAACAGCGGCATTAGGAACATCATATGAAATATGGTTACACATTAAACAGTATGCTAGTATATGTTTTTAAAAGCCTTTTTAAAAAGATGAGTTTTGAGAAGTGATAAAAAAAGATCTCACTAATTCTGCAGGTCTTAGATGCTCAGGCAGGGAGTTCCAAAGTTGTGGAGCACTGTCTGCAAAAGCCCGTTCTCCTTTTGTCTTGAGCCAGGACTTAAGAACAGCCAGAAGGCTCCTGCCTGAGGATTTGAGACTGCACTTGGCTCGTAGGGGAGCAGAAGTTCAGCAGTATTGCTAGGAGCTAGAGCATGAAGTGCTTGAAAGGTAATCAGTAAAACCTTAAAATCAATTCTAGGGCTGACTGGTAGCCAGTGAAGAGAGACCAAGACTGGTCTGATATGATCTTGTCTTCTTGTATTTGTTAAAAGTCAAGCAGCTGTGATTTGTACCAGCTGAAGGAGTGAGATTGTGTTTTTGGCTCAACTCTGAACACAACCTGGATGTGATTAAAGCCATGTATGACCTTCTCAAGATCTGGCCAAGAGAGAAAATACCTTTTCTTTCCTTAGATGCTCCTCGGTTGATAAAAACATGACTAAATGACTTTGTAACTTGTTTATCAAACATGACGTTACTGTCAAACATGAGACCCTGATTTCTGGCTTCAGGGATCCAAGTAAGATGTATAATCCAAGTACCAGTAAAATGTTTTTTTAAAGTCTGTGTATACTTTGGA